TCGTTGTCTTAGGCTGGCCTACCGCCCAATTCGAGCGCGTGGCGAGATGTGCGCATAGCAATATCGATCGCCGGGCGGTCACATCTTGCCACGCGCTCCAATTGGGCGGTAGGCCGGCCTAAGACAACGAGTTTTAATAATTAATTACTCGTTAACTATTACGAAAATTGCAAAATGGTACAGGACTTTTTCGTTCATCTCGATCCGTTCTACCTTCTCAAAAATTTTGTCGGATATGGAAAGACTCACCCTGTATAAAGAGCGTGAATGTTTAAAAACGGGACGAACTTGTGCATAATTAATAGTATTACAATAGAACATCCTGTCTAGAAACAGGTAAGTATGTACACGCGATAAGCGTTTACATTAATATAATCGCGAGACAGTATCGAGAATGAACGATTAAGGAACAATTGTTACAACTTTATCTTCCGTTTGCATTGAAGGAATAAAAAGGGATCGTTTGTTTTCACCTTGCGAATAACGCGTCCTCTTTTCTCCGCGATAAAAATAGTGATTAAATACGTTGCTCACCGGGTGGGAAATAATATTACCTGGATATCGTTGAACGACGTACGCCCGTACTTCTTCGCATTCCGGAGGAATCTCGGATTTCTGAAGACACGTACGCGCGTGCCCGCGTAGCATGTGTGTGAAACGGCGGGTGCGTCGATCGATGCAATTATATGTTCGAGTTGTTCGCGACACAATAGGAACGTGCGGAAAAAGAAATAATGGGCGGAACAGATTTTAAGAATACGGAATATCTAACTTTAATCGACTCCGTCTCCTCGCGATCGCGATAATAATTAAGAACTTATTCATGCGCCGCGCGACTCGCGTTTTTACGCAATGGATTATTAAGGCGACATGACTGTCTTGTAACACGATGAACGTCAGAATATTTTGCAGTTACTCCGTAAAGCATCACGCCAGCGTTGCGCATAACAAAAGTTGGACACAGAATGCGCTCTTAAAAATGCAGAACAATTAACTTTTTCATTATGCCCTGTTAAACAGAATGAAGTAAACACAAACGAATTATTTTAATTACAAAGTAATGCGTCCGCGTGTATGACGAAATAAATAATAAACGTGATAAACAACATACGAATGAATAGCGTATTTTCTTCCCGTGATTGAGCAGGCAGCGTAAATGATCGAGAATAGCGTGAAAAATGCAACGAAGGCATGAAATTTTCGTTAAATGTGCCGCGTGCATGATAATGTCATGCATTAAATTTGGAATGTAATAAGCTCACCTTTAGTAATTTTGAAGTATTCATTTAAATGAAACTCTGCTGTACAACGCATTTGTATTCTCTCGCGAAATTTCCATGCCGGACAAATTCAGTCAAAAGTCGTGGAACATATTTCATTTTCTTTGCTGCCCGCCCTTTAGCATTTCCCGTTGTTGCTGTAAACATTTTTTATAATTGAACGAAGGCGATAAGATACAAAGAGACGTAAAGAGAAGCGTTATACTCCCTGATATTTTGTTGGCGAAATTGCTTGCTCGCGAAATTGCTTAGACACCGTTCATTAAACGAAGCATGGCAAACGGAAAAATTGATAGTGACCCGAGGGTATCTTCGTTTTCCTTTTAGTCAATGTCATCTTCTTTTTACGGTCGGCGATTCGCAGACAGGTGCGCGCGAGAGCGTGCGATAACTCACGGCCCTTAATCTTTAAGCATCCTGTACTCCTGCTTAAGTTTTAATGCCCCTTTTTTGGGTACCCCGTGACAGCGATAAATAACGCCCGAAGACACGCAGGTAGACATGGGTACCGGAGAAACGGTTAAATTACGAAAAAATATATATCCTTGTCTATCGCACGCGACGCGACGTGGTCGCGGCAGACGCGATAATAATAAAAAAATCAATGTCACGCGCGAATATAAATGCGACCACGTTTTCTTAACCGAATCGATCTCTCGAGGCGACGCCGGTGCTTGACCCTCCGCCTCTCTCTCTCTCTCTCTCGCGCTCAACTAGACTAATTACGAATTTCCGCGCTTTGCCGGAGAGTTAATTAATTAGCCCGCATTAATTACAGTTATACGGGAATAATTGCATTCTTTCTACGGGCGACGTAGCAGCGCACAATTGTCCGGGTGCTCACCGCGTAATGTTCCTCGCGCCCGACCGGCCGCGCCGGTACCAGCCATCGGCGGCGCGTACGCGTGTTCTTAACGGTGAGTTTCAATTTCCTGGCCACGGGTCACCGCCCTTGCAATTCCGGAAGAACGAAACCGGGACGCCGCCCAGCCTCCCGGAGCGCGCCCAGGAACAAATGAAATATGCAGAATGCTTCTACTTCGCGATCCACGGCCGACGCGGCTGGTAGGCGGTAGACGCGCGGGGCGCGGGAACGGCGAGGAGGGGTTAATTGCAAGGAAATACGATAAAGCAGACGGGAAGCGTTTCGTCGAGACGCTGGAAAATTTATACGAGACGTAGGGTATGAGTTTAAAGAGGCAACCGCCCCCGTCGTTGGCGCGGACGCCGAAATAAACGAGAGCACAGGCCGCATACTTTACGAATTCCGATTGCGCCTCTCGGGAGCCACAAGGCTTCTCGCGGACCCCGTTATTCTTAGGGACGCCTTGGCATTTCATCCCGATGCTGTACCGACCTTGATCAGGCCAGAATCGCTTTATTGGCATATATACGGACGACAGGCATTCGATCGCTATCCGCTGTTCGGGCGCTTTGTGGAATATTGCCTCGTTGGAATATTGCCGCTCGTTATGACCATCTTTCCCGGCGTCCAGCAGCATCGGTTTCAAACGCGATCAATTCAAATAGCGATCCTCATCTACGACGTAAAATAACGCGACATTTTTATGTCATTATTTAATATAGAGAACTCAGCCCCGTCTCTCTTCCGCTCAGGCACTTACTTAACCCTTTCAAGTATACATTTTTCTATCGAGCCATTTTTTTGTGAGACTTTGTGCACAAGGGTTTTTGGGGTCGCTGATTACGAATCCGTTATCAGATTTTCATAATTCAAGGTGGCGGAATTCAAAACTTAAAAGACTAACGTCATTCAGCTGTAATTCAACTATGCCGAGAAACATTATTTAGATATTATTAGGACCCATGGAATCTAAAATCTAATTGAAAATTTTATAGAATATATAGCGCGCGTTTCATCTTCAACTTTATCTTAATCGACGGGTCTAAGGTAAACGAGGAATTCTCAATCATTTTATTTTCTAATCGATTATTAACATAATTTCATCTCCTTATTCAAACAATTCCCTCTAGAAAATGCATTGCGCCACCGAGTTTTTATTATATATCACGTATTGACTTACCAACTCGATATTATCTCTCGAAGGCGCGCGGATCGAGGAAATCGAATACAAAAGCAATAAAGATTTCTGCGCAGCTTACCGTTAATAAGTTATCTTCATCCTGTTCTTTGTGACGGCAAACTCGCGATGATAGAGATTGCCTCGTATTCGTATTCCGTCTGCCGAAAAGTTGTCAATTTATATCCACCGATACATCTGCGGATCCGTACGTGATTGCGAATTCGATGGAACTCGTCAAATCGGCCGATATCGCCGATGGAAATTAATATATTCTATAAATCAATCCCGCTGCCGATATAAGCCACGCTCTGCCGGCGAGCCTATAAATATAACACGAGGCGCGGCAGAGAAACGTAATCCCCGTCGTGCGTTTCGAATATACCCTCGTAAAACCGGGGGCATACACGCACGACCGGTAGCAAGGATCCACGAGGTAAAAGATCGTTCTCCCCGTGTACAGGGTGTTACAGCAACATACAGGTCAGTATGACGAGCTGCCTATTCACGTAGGCGCGCACGGTCGTTCATAATTGCGTTATAAATTCGGCGTATTAAGGTCCAGTTTCACAAACGTCGGTTAACTGTTAACCAGAGTTCAGTCGTCTTCCTATCTTTCTCTATCTTGTTATCCAAGAAGAGACAGAGGATCAATTAACCATGGGTTAGCGGTTAAACGACGTTTGTGAAACTGGCCCTAAGTCGGCGAGAGTAGCGGCAACTGTTTTTTTGCTTTAACACGCCAACTTCATAACGCGGTTATGAACGATCATGCGCGCCTGCATTAACATGTCGCTGTAACACCCTGTACACGCGGGGAGGGCGTGTGGATAAGAAAAACCCGGGGCAGGGTTGTGATTCAATCTCGTCGCTTGGGCGATATCGGCCCCGGACGCATCACACGTCCGCGCCCCCGTTTGCGCTCGCGCGCTCGCGCAGCATCCGCGCGGGAGATGTAAAACACCTGATTACAAAAGAATTTGCATTTTTATTACAGTGACGTACGTATATATTACAGTACACAGTGTGTAACGAGAACCGCGCATACATCGTAGACCTCGCGCCGCGTTGATTTCGCCAAACCGTGCGAGACCTCTCGCTCTCCTTTCACCCTTGTCTCTTCGCCCCCGGGCGCGGCCCAGATTCACAAGTCGACGATCAAATCGATATCGATCGTGATTATTCGGACCGTTTCACTCGATGACGATTGGATTCTTCATTAATTTCGTAACAAGATCCGCGTAATACTTTTCCGATACCTTATCGACATCTAAACTTATACATACACGGAGAGAAATTTCGCTTAAAATATATCCTGAAAATCATCTAATCGTGGGACAAAGTGGCATTTTGAAGAACTGAGAGTTTTTTGAAATTTTACCTATTTTTTACTAGTTTATTATACTTGGCATACATTTTGCCGGAATTCAATGCGATATCAATTGAATTATGACTAGATCGTGGACAAGATCAGTGCAAGTGAAATAAAATCGTTGAAACAACAGCAAAATTAATGAACGAAAAGCATCAGATAGTTGTCTTAATAATCTGGATATTGAGTTCAACGCTCAAAATTAAAATCCGTGGCAAATACAACGGAGCGAATCATTTATGTTTGTTGCAGCCCGTTAACGTTTAATTCAAGCAACTTCATGTCTTCATAATTCAATAGCATTTTTTTCCCGTGCAGCTATGACGAAATCTCCTAAATATCAACTTGATTATTGACTTGCGCATGATCTCAACTTGGTTTCAATATTCGCAGATTCCTCATCGACTTGTGACCCCGGGGGGAGGTTTCCTCCGCCGACCGATACCGAACGATCCGGCGATGCGATAACGAACTGCCGCGTCGAACGCGGCCGTCGAGCAGCTACGTTTCTCGCGGCGCTGCATTTCGTAACGATTTTTCATAACGGACTCGCTGGATATCGCATATCGCCTCAGTCATCATTTCACCGCCCCCCTGGCCCTCCCCCGTCGAACGTAAATGCAGGATTCACGTGGACATTAAAAATTCCTCCGCGCTAAACGCGACGTTCCGTTGCATTCGCGGCTTTAATACTGGTTATTGGCGATATCGAGCGAGTCAATCTGTTAATCTAAATCGAATCCTGAAAAAAACAACAAACGTACCATTTGGGCGCGTTATTCATTTCTAATGCAAAAACGCGTTACATCGGTCCATCGCGATAAAAGTTCTGATGGATCTGGCCTCGTTGCGGCCCCGGAAAATCGGGGCGGATCGACGCGACGATGCTAATTCAACTACTATTGTTGTCTCGCTATTTAAAGAGATCGTCGGAATTTTTACGTTAATAATCTCGGTGATATCGACATCCTTAACCACTGAATACATATGTTTCCCGATACGTACGTATCTATATACAATCGTTTCACGTAAATTTATAGATTCTATAACACGAGCCGCAGAACGTCACCTTAATCGCCGATTCTCCGACAGCGGCTAGCGCACGAATATTTGACCCAGAAGGGAAAGAAGAAAACGTAAAACAGATTCGCGTACAATTTTATTTATATCCCGACCTATCCACGTGTCTTAAATTCTCAGCAGACGTTGGCAGAATATTTCATCTCTTCATTGGCGGACCAATATCGCTTTCAGCGTTGAAAGAATTCATTCGCGTGCTGCAAGTACGCGCAATAAAGGAAATTAATCACATCTCGCGCTCGCTGCGAGGAAACTTTACTTCCCATCGGGGAGGGTGGAAATGCTCCTGCATCTTATTCTACAGAATCGCGCCGGAGCGCTAACCGAGTGTAGGATATATCTTCTTTTAAACTTACACCCCTCCTCCTTTCTCTCTCGTTTGCGTGTTTTTTTTCTTCTTCTTTACATCTTTTACTCCTTCATCGCCGGTGGATCTGGAATCCGTCGTGCAATCGATCGCTCGCAGGGGACGAGCAATTTTTCCCGCCCCGCCGCCCTGACGATCCGCGCGCGCGGCCCAATCGGAAATTGATGGTACCGTCGTACCGCGGGCGTTCACCGCGAAATGGCGCGCCATTTCGCGGGATCGGCGCGCGGGTGACGTTCTAAACCGCGCGGTTTGCCGAGCCATTAAGAAAGCACAATAGCCACTTCGCACCCGTCCGATCTCATCCGCGTATAGCGGCGGCCCCGTGGATGACACGTAATAACGCGGTGTTTAGTCGTAAATCGTTGGGCAAATGCGCGTCGTGTGTTACACGGAAGCGAGGGTCTATCTACCGTCTACTTGCCCCCGTTATCGGTTTTACAGTCGTCCGGGGGCGCGCGCGACCCTCGAGATCGTGCCTCGTACACCCCTCAAAATTTCATATCTCTTGAAGAAGACTGAGCGTTTGTATTGCAGAGATGCCGCCACCTCCCCCTCCCCCAAAGCACCGTTCGGCGTCCGCGATTCCGACCGATTTCTTCTTGCGGATAAAATGATCCTCGTTACGTCCAAAATAGCTTCTGATATCCGCCCGACGTCGGTACATTTTAACTTCTACCATGCACATCGCGCGACTTCGGTCCTTCAGACCTATTGATTTTATAACGCTCCGCATTACCAATACTTGGAGGTTCCATTAACCTGTTAGAGGGCCGGCATTTTTCCATTGAAACTTGTAACTTTTTAAACAGAAAATTGATGCATACATGTAATCTATTATACATGTTCCGAAAGATTTTCAAGTTTGCTCCAGACCACTGTAGCGGCCACTCCGGCCCTCTAAAGGCTAAAGGGGCCCGATTTGCGATTTGGTCGGATTTATCGGAAATTTAGAAAATTTTCTCGTTTGCAGAGCCGGAGAGTACGATATCTCTCGTCTTGTTCAAAACTTATACGATTTTCGTCAGAGTATACGAGAGCTGCGCGCGTGGCTAACATCGCTCGTACATTATCGAAATCAATTTCCCGTTCTGTACAACTCTTACGGGAGACATTTCATCCGCTCGATCGCGCTCGTTCGATACGATGCCACGCGAGGTGATTAAAGCTACTTGGAACCGAATTGAGACTCAGTAGAAAATCCTTTATAAAATGCTCCGTTACTCTAATAAAGATTCCCATTCATCCGCGCATCCTCTCTCGCGTGCATGCATGCTCACTCGCTTAAACTCTTCGTTGCCGTTAACGCAGTGGTCTGGCGTGGCCAGTTTTTGGTAGCGATGCTGCCCGAGAACGACGCTCTTCGTCGAGCATCGAGATCGAGCCAATCGTAGCGCACTCGGTGCGTATCACTTGAGCGCACAGCACCGACTAATTGCGACAATTTCTCAGTTCGTAAAGACAGTTCGGCGGTTGTGCCGGAAATTCGACCGGCACCCGGTATTGTCCGTTTGAGGCTCTTTGGCGCGTCAACTCGAAACTTCCACGAGTCGGGGAGACCTTCGAACAGATTATAACACGCTCGAATCGCTCGAGTCCTGCTCACACGTTCGAAACCTCCACGAGTCGGGAGTTCCGCGGCTTTTCTCATACATTCAGCGTGGTGTTGTTGACGAAGTTGGAGTGCTGGCCGTCCTGGCTGGTCTGCCTGGTAGCGGTATGGCCGGCCTCACCGCTCTGTATGCTGAAGTGTCTATACGATATGTACTCCGGCGGTATCGGCTGCTGCTCCCTCTTGACCGCCTCCCGCTGCTTCTTCACTTTGAGGTAGCCCAAGACGGACACCAGGAGGAGGAAGACGACGAAGCCCATGCAGCAGCCGACTATCAAGCCCAGCCGCCTCGTCAAGAAGCTGCTGACGCTGCCGACGTCGCCCATCGCCGAGCCGTCGCTGCTGATTATCGCGTCCGGCGCGTCCAGCGTCTTTACGTCCGTGCAACGGCTGGTCGAGGAGTCCGTCATCTGCGAGCTCGGCGTGGACGCGATTATCTCGACCTGCGTGAAATTGAGCTGCTCCATCGGCCCGTCCTCTATCCGCGACGTCATCCAGTTACCGAGACCGAACACGCAGATCAGGTAGCGGGTGTTCGGCGACAGTTTCGACAGTTTCACCGAGCGCGCGTTCGGCTCGAGTATTTTGGCACGTACCTGGAATTCAGAGCGATAAAAGTGGCGCCGCGCGTTCTCGGCTTCTCTGAATAAATTTAGGCAAGAGTGCTAAATTATTCCCACAAAAAAAATTCATCATTTTTTAAAATGTACTCGCAATATTCCATAGCTCACTTATTATCTGAGAAAGAAAATTATTACAAGGATTAACAAGAATATTGTTGTGAGGATCGATAAAGGAAATATACTATTATTCTCTCTTTCGTCGCTGGAACAGCGCGCGCGACGCAAAATTTTCTCCTCGCGAAATAACGAGCGCACCGCCATTATCTAGTAATTACTGAAAATGGCTAAATTCGATTTCTTTCAAAGTGGCGAAAATACTTAATCCGGCCGGGACGCCGCGCCGCTTTTTTGCACGTTCGCGCCGATCGATCAGCGAGGACGGTGTCGGATGTGACGACACGTTTTTGCAAAGGATGAACCTAGAGTCTCGTCGACACAGAGGAAGAGAGAGGAAAAGAGAGCGCTAGACAGCGAGGTCCTCGGCTATATCGATTGAATCAAACGCCGTTTACATTTTATCCGCTCCGCCCGTTCGATTTATACCCCGTGTTGCACCCGTGCTCGCTTTTTAGCGACGACCTCGCCGTGCGCGCTATACACAATTAGGGTGCACTGTTTTTCGGTACCTCGTCGGCGTTATCCAGGGCGTGATAGGCCACCTGGTAGCCGCGCAGGCCGGAGTGATTCCTGCTCTGCCACGACACCAGGACGGAGAACGGCTGGATGTCCTGGATCGCCAGTTTCAGCACCAGCGGCGCGGTGCAGAATGCGTGGGGGTCCAGGTCCAGGAAGACCAGTCCGCGCAGCTCCGGCGGCTGCTCGCACCTCAGCAGACCGCCGTCCACGTCGTTCATCCTCAGTCCGCCCCCGCGATTCCGGTTCATTCCGCCGCCGACCAGCTTCTGATGGTCGCGCAGCCATTCCCAGAGCTCCTGGGACTCGCAGTCGCAGTGCAGCGGGTTTTCTACGCGGATTTTTATGTCCGTGATTAACTTACGGGAGAGCTTGGGCTCGAGGGGTTGCTTTTTTCTTTTTTACAGACGTATCTCGGCCTATTTGTCGCGGGGGTCCTTATAAAGTTTTTATCGCGCCACCACGTCGCGATTGTCACGAGGATCTCGTGAGTCGCGACAGCCCGAAGTGTTTGGATTTGCCGTAAGCACACTGTGACGTTTACGGCAACCTGAATTACCGCGACGCTATAGCCGCTCCCCGCGTTGAATAGCACCGTGATGTTTTGTAACGTCGCTCGCGATTGTGTGCTCGGTGTTCATATCGTTCACTCGACGTCGAGGAGCCCCGAGTGTAACTACCCGGCGGGGCTATTTTCGACTGAGTCGAATTCGCTCGCATGCGAAGATACGCCGCCGGTGAGTTTTGCATGCGACCAATCATCTCAACGGCTGAGATTGCTATTGTCGAACATAACGCGATACGATCCGTGTGAAAGGCGTCACGTGTGCCTATACGTGCAAGCGAAATCGTAAAAGAATTTTTTTTCGTGCTAACTCGCAATAAACGACCAAATTACAGTCTCGAAACGTATAAATACTTTATACAGGAAATGACTTGCGGTTCTCAAAAATGAAAGGACGAAAATTGAAAAGAATCGCCCGATAATAATTTAACAATCGAGTTGCGATAAAAAAAAGTTTTGTCGCGTGTTTTGTTTTTGATTGTAATTGCAATTTCGTGTAAATCGCAGCTAAACTCTGACAAGTATCGCGGCGGAATAAAATGGAGAACAAAGTAATAAATTGTACTCACCTTCGGCCCGTAAACTCCGTATTTGCGTTTCGAGTGGTCGAAAGGCATTCAGCGGCAAGTTCGCTAAGTAGTTCCTACTTAGATCTAAAATTCTGAGCTTTTTCAGCGGCTTGAACGCGTCCGGCGAGATCGACGATATCCAGTTGCCGTAGAGGTGCAGCTCGGCCAAGTTCTCCAAATGCTGGAACGTGCCCTTTCCCACACCGCTTATCTGATTGTACGAGAGATCGAGCACCTGCAAAGCTTTAAGGTCAGGTGGGAAGTCCTCGAGCTCTTTCAGACGGTTGTGCGTGAGATTGAGGAGTCTGAGGTGTTCCAGCCCCTTCAGTCTTTCCTGCGGCAGTAGCTCCAATTCGTTGACACTGAGATCCAACGTGAGCAAATTCGAGAGGCTGCGAAACGCGCTGGGCGACACCCTGGATATCATATTGCTGCTCATGAAGAGATGCATCAGCGCGGGGAACGCCTCGAAGTCCTGGCTGGTAACTATCGTCAAGTTCGTCCCGGAGATGTGAATTTCCTGAAGAGCCGGATACTTGGCCTCCGAGCTGATCTCGTGTATTCTCACGAGGGGATTAGCCGTGACGTTCAGCCAGGCTAGACCGGGTATATTTTGCGCCGTAAGTGCAACGGCGGGTATTTGCCGGAACTTATTAGCCGCGAGCTCGATCTTCCGCAGCATATTTGAGCGAGCGAAGAAATTCGCCGGAAGAGCGGTTAAGTGATTATGACTCAGATCGACGGATATTAGACGGGAGAAATTGACGGAGGCGAAACCGGTGAGAGACATGATGTAGTTGCCGCGTAGATCGAGCTCCCGTAGACTGGTCAGTCCGTTTAGCCGCGACATGTCGACGCGGTGGAGAACGTTGTTGGCCAGCGAGAGGAACTCGACCGTGGTGGCATTCGCGAACGCGTCGTACGGGATCTCCTGGAACCTGTTGCCGTCGAGTTTCACCTCCTTGAGCGCCTCCAGGCCGAGGAACAGCGTCGCTGGCAGTGCCCTGAGTAAATTGTAGCTGAGCAATAGCTTCCCTAGATTCTTATTCTTGGAGAATATCTCGGCCGGCATCCTGTAGATCTGCGACGAGTCCATCGCCAGATGTTGAAGGGATGGCAAGCCGTCCAGGGAGTTGGCGTTAACCTGACTAAAGTTGTTGAACGATATTCTTAAGACTCTTAATCCCGGTATGTCTAGGCGGTCCAACGCCGTGGCAGTGAAATGATTGTGCTCGAGATTTAGCTCGTAGAGGTTGTTCAGTCCGCGGAAGGCACCGTTCTCGATGACGCTGACGGTGCAGTTCTTCAGGTTGAGCGTTCGGATCGGCAGCCCTTCCTGGAAGATCTTGTCGTGCAGCACGTTCAAATGATTGTTGGCGAGGTCGAGGATGCGCAGTCTTTTGAGAGCCGTCAAGGCGTAAGGATCTAAACGACGTAAACCGTTGTCCTGCAGATAGAGTTCTTCCAACTCGTGGAGCTCCGAGAAGGTCTTGACGGTCACGTGGCTCAGTCGGTTCATACTGAGCTCGAGGAACTTGAGCGCCTGCATCGGTTTAAAGGCGGTGTCCTCTATCCGCGATATGGAATTATTCGTGAGATACAGACGTTCGACCAGCAACAGGTCACGGAACAATGGGGCTTGAAGGCGAGTTAGCCTATTATGCCCGAGCCACATGATCCTGACCGAGGCCTGGCCTCTTAATGAGTCATTGTGTAGGACGCCGAGTCCATTGTTATCCAGCTGAATGGAGACCAAAGAGCTACCGCTGTTCTCGCTCTGGCCGACGTCGTTCGACACTTGAAACACATCGCCGAGCACGGCCAAAAGGTTACCCTGCAGGTTCACGTGTTGCAGACTATGCAGCGACCTCAGAGCGCCAGTCTCCATGTCCGTGATAGCGTTGTTTTGCAGATGTAGCTCAAGTAGCGACGGCAGCGGCGCGAATACGCCACGTTTCACCTCGGTTATCTGATTATCCTGCAGCCGGAGCTCGCGCAGCTGCTTCGCCCTGGCGAACGTGCCCACCTCGAGCTCGCGGATGTTATTACCGTCTAACGAGAGGGTCGAGAGATTTTCACAGTGCTCGAGAAAGTCGCGCGGCACCTTCTCGATGTAATTCCCACTGAGATGTAACTGCGCTAATTGACCGAGCGTCGCCAGGCCGCGCGCGTCGATCCTCCTGATGGCGTTCTGCTGGAGGTACACGACCGAGAGACTCGTGCTACCGGCGAACGTTTCCGCCGGTATCTCGAGAATGTTATTCTCCGCCAGGAAGAGCTCCTTCAACTCGGGCAGCCTCGAAAACACGCCTCGAATATAGTGTATGTGATTGTGGCTGAGATCGATCGACCTGAGCTTTTGATTGGCACGGAAGGTGGCCACGTCAAGAAACACGATCTTGTTGTGGCTGAGGTCTATCGACTCGAGATCGATCAACGATATAAAGGCATCCTTGTCGACCGACTCGACCGCGTTGTAATAAAGCGAGAGGGTCTTTAGGGACGGACAGCAGCGAAAGCAATTGAGCGGAATGTCCTTGAAATTGTTGCTACTCAGATCGAGGAAGTTTAAGGCGTCCAGTCTGGAATAGCCGTCCTCCGGGAGCTGGGATATCTCGTTCCAAGCGAGCCTCAAGGACGTGAGATGTTCTAATCTTCTTAAGGACGTCATGGGGAATACTCTGATCTTGTTTTCCGCCAGATCCAGGTCCTTTAAAGTGCCCTCGAGCCCGGCAAAGGCGTACTCCGAAATTTTCATGATTTGATTGCCCTTCAGGTTCAGTTTAATTAACGCGAGCCCGAAGAAACTGAAGCTAGGCAGCTCGTAAACGAGGTTGGCCTCCAGGTCCAGCGCTTTGAGTAGGCTCAGCGAGGCCATAGCCTTTTGAGGTACTTGAGGTAGTCGACCGGATACGAGTGCCAAGGATTCCAGGCTTTTACTGAGTCGCGTAAAAGCATCCTCGCTTATTTCGCGTATCGCGGAATGCGATATTTGCAGATGCCTAATTTGCGAGCCCGCCGGGAAAGCGGCGGACCGAAGTTCCTCTACTTTCCGATCCAATTCGTACACGCTCAATGATTGAACGAGCGCTCCTGGAACAATCGCGAGATATTTCAGTCAAAGCCACTGACGGTGCTTTGTGAGTTACAGTTGCGAAATGCAAAGTTAAATTCTTCTTTCTATTTTCCACATGTTTTATTATTCGGGTGCGCATCAAATATTTCATTGAATATCGATATGTACAAATAAGAGCCAGGACGAATCACACGCTTTTCGAGAAATAAACATGCATTGAGAATTTTTATCATGGAAAACGAAAAATCTGCGAAATATCAAACGCGAGCAGAATCTACATCAAACTCTATAGAAAATATATCAAATTAAAGAAATGAGAATTAATAATAAATTCCGCTACGTTTAAATATATATACATATTTATACAACCGGACTAATTAAAAATATCTTTTATCCTTTATTAGTTAGAAAAAGAACTGAAATAGTATCTTATAAAAGAGAGGGTCGAGAAATACAGTTGTGTCAAGTCTATCTCCGAGTTTGGACGTCAAGCTACTTGAAAACTGGAAGGTAAAAAATGAAAAAGAAATAAGATCTAAAAAAGGTATTAGCTTATTAACTATTTGCACAGATACTGGAACGGTCTCTCGGGCGTTTTACCGTTTTCTTTTTTTTATTCTGCGCCAGCTGTTCCGGTATGACGGTTACCACCGTTTTACGGACGTACAGTGGCTGTTTCTACTTATGTATGCGAGCGGAATACGTGTTCTCCCCGCTGATCTCCGCTTTTTGCGCGTTGTATCATGGACGGTTTACCTTCCTCGCCAGCGGCATGTATCACGCCGGACAAAGCGTTCCTGAGGGACTCCTCGGTGGCACCTGCGCACTCCAGGAACAGACCGCCGTTCTCGAAGTTGTAACACGGGCAGCCGGGTATTGTGTCCGGTGGCGGACACTTGGCACCCCTCGCTTCCTGCGTCGCCATGCACGCCGCCAGGATCACCGAGTAGATGATGCGGAAGCCGTCCCGACGGCGATTCCACCGATTGTCACGTACTCTGCACGATGGGGTCGACGGTTGTCGCCACTTTCTCCTGGTCCGTGGCGACGTCGTCCACATATTATTATTATCGCACCGCTTCGTTCCTGGCTCGTCCCGATTCGTTCATCGTTTCTCGCGCCGACACTCGGATTTCGCACCGCCGCGGGTTCTGCGAACAATGAGAAACATCGCCGGGATGAAATTCAGCGTCAACTCGAGGCACGGGGGGCTCGCTATCGTCTTCGAAAATGCACGCTTGAATACGTTCTCGTTCGAAGACTCTCGAGGTAAGCGCCCGGGAGTGGCTAGAAATGCCCGACGGGTTCAACGCGGTATCATTTTTATCTGATTCCTCATCGACGCAAATGAGACTTCAGATTTAGACTATATCGGATTTAACGTCAAGATATCCCGTACAGTTTTCAATGGTGATCTTGCGAGCTGAAAAATGTCCGATATTAAAGAGGAAGATTCGTCAAACAAGTTTTACATTCCTTTTTATCGCTTGACACTTTTTCGTTAATATCAGTCAACAGTTTTTGCTATATTAATCACAGATACGCTAGCATACACTCGAGTATTTCAAAATCTATCATTTTCACTCGACTCGTCTTTGATCCTATATTACCCGGGGTATGTTTTAATACATTCCATCATAATGTCTCAATTTTCCTTGTTCTCTTTCATGGCACAATTTAAGGATACTCTATTATATCTTCATGACGAAGATATAAGAGCAAGAGTTTCTCCTCAACTGCGAAACAATTCGTGCCGCGTGCGATCAATGGAAAAAATTTTACCAATTTGGTAGATTTTTAAGGCTGAAGTGTGTTTTAATTCCCACGCGAGTAATGGAGGACTAATCATTTTCTGCGCTGGAATAATGTACCTAATATTTAAATTGTTTTTCAGAAGAAAATGCTACCTTTAATTCGTTAAGTGTACACGCTCAAACTTATCTTTTTCCCCTTGCTCTGGCTTCGGTAACAAAAGATTACGAATCCCACAGCCCCGCGTGTTTTCCTCCCGGAGATTGTCGTTGCTTGTCTCGCCTATGGTTCGGATCGCCCGCAGAAAAATATGGTTATCCTGTTTTCGACGAACCACGAAACATGTGTGTACATGCGCACGTATACTTACCGGACGAACCTCAATTTTCAACAGGACAAGGTTGGATCCCGCGGGATCGAAAAGCCGACGGGTAACGTCCTCAAAAAATATATATTATATATAAAAGGGAGAGAGCGAGAGAGAAAAGAAGTCAACAGCGTCGTTGGTCACTGGGCTCCTGGTCTCGGTGTCTCGTTCAAAAGATACCGATCCTGAAGATCAGCCGACCGACGGTCGTAATTTAATGCCCGCGGTAAATCACCGTGGCTCGGGGATGCTGTCACATACCCGCGTGACCTGTTACGATCGGAAAAATATGACCGGATTGGGCGGTTGCCAGATGGTGTCTTAAGACGCGGTGCGACCGGGTCGCGACGCGGGGCGACCGGGGGTCACGTGTGGGGACATGATCGAGAATACGAAGTGGTAAATGGGCGTCGATTTCCGCCGTGCTACACCGTGTACGGCACGTCATTCTTCGGATAACTTTGTTAGGGCCGTGCTTGCAGCCGGGGGTAACGTTAGGTCATTGGCTGCAGCGCCGGAGTAGAAAAATCAATATGCCCTCGCGTCTCCTACGCCAGGGGATTTTATTTTTTAATCCGCTCGCGCTTATCGCAGTTTCTGCTTAGGCCCCCTCCGTCCACCCTCCCGCTCCTCCTCCCTTCCCTCCCCCTCCGGCCCCCCGTGAAATTCCGTATTCCAGAGTGACCGTTTCAGACATTCTCTCGTTCGCATCCCAATTAATTAATTCGCTTTTCACGAGAGATACGCAATTCATATTTCTACTTGAATTAAGGCAGTTAATTAAATTTCATCCTAATTAGGTGACAGGCTAATTATATAGTTTATATTACACGGTTGAATTATATTAATCTGTATCTAGTTCTCGATTGTTAAAAAAGGGGGCAAAACCGGCCAAAAATAATGAAGTTGCAAAATATTGTTTAAGAATGTATCAGCCGTGACGTCGGAACGTCAATATTAATCAAAATGTTTTATTATAAAATATTTTATTATAAAAAATTTATTTCAGACCTTAAGGTTGCGATATCGCGACAATCTGCAGATACATAATAGTAATATTCTGGTTGACGAAGAGTGGCCAGGTTGGCCTCGTTGCGCGGAAATGGACTAAAAATCAGTACGTTAAATGAAACTCTAATTTCCAACAATGAACAAGAGGTGGGAAAAGCACGAGCCGAAATGAAATGCTTGTTGCCGCTGCTTCGGTGGTAGGCGAGCTTATGTACCATTATAAATTCCAAGTGGTATGCATATCTTTGTAATATATTAGATCGAATCGTAGGGTCGAACTTTGTCGTTTGCAAGCATGAAAGTTGTTCCGCGCTATAACTTCCGGGAGCCTCGCCCGTTGCTCTTGTTTCCGAACCGAGAAATCTTCCGTGTACTCGACGTTTTACTCCCGAAGGACTTGGCGCAATATTTGCATAGCGTTACGTAATGCCGCAACATTCGGCAGGTTTGCGAATCTAAAAACGAGCGCAATCACTTCCCTTCCGCGTTAAAAATAGTTTCGTCAATATAACGTAGCAATATAATATAACTTTTTGGTTAGCTTTTTATTACAATTTAATTTAATCAACTTCAAGCAGAAGCTTCTGTCTATGTGTACATTCCGTTTATTTTTATATTTTAAAAAATATTTATATTGAGCTCGTAAGAGAGCACAATTTTCGCACAAATCCAGTTAATGAAATTCAAATAAATCGCAATTAAAGTTGCCGCTTTGGCATGACACCTATTATTCATTTGATCTGCCTGCATTAAATCAAGTTGGTGATAAAGTAAATACAGATAACTGCAATTCGAATAATTAAATGTATAATGGAAAATGGGGAGGGTGCAGGATTAAAGCCAATGAAAATTTAAATAAGATTAAATATAAGGTATACAATAAGATATTTACAAAGCTTGAAAGCTAACTCATAAAAAATTAATTTATTGTTACACGCCATTAATGTCACTTTCAAAAATGAATATTTCTCTGTATCAAGTCTAGAGTTCTCTGATTTATAAAAGCCAAAGAATTAAAAATATATTAAGAAAGTCAGAATAGCATAAAGATAGATTTTCAATTATTAACAATTTTTCATACGGTCGTTTCCAAATTTGTTAAACACAATTTCGGACTCGACAGGAGCCGCGCGATTCGTATTCACACGTTGTAATCATATAATTAAAAATTGCAGATAAACTGTGCCGAATTTTCGGGGGAATCGCCGGATTTGTATTCGACATTTCACTTGCGTATCCCGACGCTCTTTCCCACCGGAAGTTTTCCGGAGTATGCATGTCAGACATTTCTGTCGATGTCGTTTGTGTCGTACTCGCGCGCGATTAACTATCGAATGCCGCGAGCGTTTAGAAGCGAACGGTCGCGCCACCCGGAATCCGCGTTACGTTCGAACGGATTCCGCTTTCGGCGGGATACACCGAGAGTCGATCGGCGTTTCCGAGAGTCGGCCTGACTCTCCGGTCGGAAACGTTCTGGTCCATTACCGCCGTAGCGAAATTGAATTTCCTCGGGATGGCGGCGCGGCTTGACGCCGCGCGCAAGCTCGGATTAAATCGTTGCGGCCGCCGAGCAAACCGCAGCCACTAATGAAGCGTACCGCGTTGAATTTAAAAGATTCCCCCTTGCCTTTGCCCCTCTCCACCGCGTTATGCGAGGTCAGAGGCCACGAGGATTCGCGTCCTCGCGCGAAATTGCAGTCATCCGGCTCTCTCTCTCTCTCTCTCTCTCTCTCTCTCTCCTTCTCATTCTTTCCCTCCTCGCTAGACTGTGTCTTAAAGGGAGGGGTTAAAAGCAGCATGGTCTGCGGAGGGTGAAGGTGAGTGGTGCGTCGGAAGAGCGCAGGGTGCAACGGATGTACCTGTGCATACGGCCACCCACCTTCTCTCACCTACTCGGGAGGGGCCGCCTAACGAGCTCTCCGACCACCCGAGTGCTTTGCAGTTGTTCACCTATTTAAATAAGAACCGCCGATGGTAATGAGAATGCAAATGGCACGACACGCCCTACGCGAGCTTCGTCTCACACGCCATGGAATAATAAAAAGGTGAGCGTCGCGGCGAGGCGGGCACTTGTGTACACCGCGAGCTTTCCAACCCCCGGAAATCATACGAAAGGAATTGGTATCGGGGACGACGGTGTTGCCCGCGGCGGTTACTACCCCTGTGTCTCCTCGCTCGCCGCCCTATCCAGAAGTGGCTTTTGGATTAAAGCACCGAGATTGAGAGTTTAATAAGACCGATTGCGAGAGTTGCACACATGTACGTACGGATACATATAGATATACGAGGCTTCCGTGCCGCATGTTGAATGCAACTGCAAAAGCTGCGCGTTGTTGTAAGCCGCGGCACGGTTTACGATCCCGATCGTAAAGAAACAATATCGTGCCGCGTATTCGATAAACGCATTGGGCTTTACGATCCCGTTTCTCGAGGAGAACACTCTGGGCACGTCATTGGTTAAAAAATAAGCGAAGAAACGCTTATTTGTAGATACAACTGGATTTGCGGTTGGTATCGTAAAGGTTTTGAAACAGAGTCGCAGGAATTTCGCAAAATGTCTTACGCATTTACGACAGACGTTACTGAGAATGTACTATACTTTGATCTCTCGCGACGAGAGGGGATTTGCAACTTTGATTTTTTCCTCCCCCTCGAGATTAAGACGGACGTTTCCCTCTCGATTATTTGACGCGTTATTCTATCGACTATCGCTTCTGCTCGAAGTCACCGTTAATTGGTTTTCTTTGTCAGACTTTGTTTCTTTTGTAAGAAAAGGATTTTCAATTTTACTTACCACAATTTTACAACTTTACATATCTGCCTGACATTATTTTTCTTATCTGACTGAAGATATAATAAGATTGCGATGCAAACTATCCGATGTGAACTCGCTTGATTACAGAGTATTTTTAATGGGTGTCTTTTTTAGCCTTCGTTAATTGGACAAACGAATGACGCTCAAAACCGTTTTGTTCACGTTGTCACAGCGGGAATTATCTCGTTTGATAATGGCAACGTGGA